CGACATTGAGGAGTAGCGGCTCTACTCTGAGTACCTCCTGAATGACTCCTCAACCTATTTCTAAAGAAGAAAGCTAATTTCTGCCACTTGTATCCGTGACTTAAAAAAATAATTAACAATAACAGGCTTAAAAAGGAGGTTAGGCATAACATTTAGGACACAACAATTTACCAGTATTTGGCATCAATTGAGACGTTAACAATTAGATTAAACTACAAGTACGTCTGGTATCGACAGTAGTAACAATTAGTCACACACATCCTTACATTACACCAGATGTAAGAATCTCCACTTAGTCACTTTGAGATCATCTCCTTCTTTTCATGTTGCTTTATTTAAAAGTTCATCTAAGTAAAATTTCTCAAGAAGTAATTAATTAGTAACTCTACACTGTGTAAACTTTCAGGTTTTTCTCGGTGATTACAGCAAACTTCTGTTTAGAATCCATGGTGTTGTTGTCAGATTTTCCTCCTATGGGTTTTTGGATGTTAACTATTGTTTGGCCATATAGCTAATCACTGCCAGGGAAACTTCCAGCAAAATACAGATCTAAATCTTGGAAAGTGACTTCATTTCTTTCCCCTGAATGCATTGATGAAAGCTTTATCTGCATTTTCCCTCCTTTGTCCTTTTTATTTCCTTTAAAAAATTTATCCACACATGGCAGCAATTCCATGGTGTATGAACGATGAATCAGGAGCCATTTTAGATGACACAGTTGTAGATATGAGTTGTACGGTATATTTAGTCGGTTTCTGTCAAATGAAAACAAGTGAGAGTTTTCTGTGCCTGGACATTACATTGGTGGCTTACTGTATATTTATGCATGTATGTATGTATTTATGTATGTATGTTTAAAATTAAGTTAAAGTTAAACTTTTAATATTTATGTATTGTGACAAAGTGGTAAATGGCCTGTATTTGTATAGTGCTTTACTAGTCCCTAAGGACCCCAAAGCGCTTTACACAACCAGTTATCTACCCATTCACACACACATTCACACACTGGTGATGGAAAGCTACATTGTAGCCACAGCCACCCTGGGGCGCACTGACAG